CACGGAAAGATAAACACGGTGGGGGTGGTGGTTCGTTCAGGACACCGGCACCACTGACAAAGAAGAACAGGGATGCTCGGTGGCATGCATCCTCCTCACAAAGGACGGGGCCTCCAAAGTGTGCCAATTGTTCGAAAAATCATTTTGGGAAGTGCAATGCACCCCCAAGGTGTTATCAATGTGGGAACACGGGCCACATGAAGGCCAATTGCCCACAACTAGGGGGAGGAGGAACTCCGGGATCCGGAGGAGGAACCATGACGGGAAGGAACCGTGCGGGACCGTCAAACGGCGGTACGGGAAGAGGCGGTGCATCCACAAGCCATGCCGCATCCGTCAACCAAGGTGGGACCCAAGCGAGAGTCTACGCGATGAACGAGGCGGATGCGCGGGCAAACCCGGACTCCGTCGCAGGTAATACACTTATTCTGGGCATTTCTAGGCTTACTTTGATCATATACGTCGTTGGGATTGAGTGCGGGCCACCCCGGGGTCAAACCGGGCAAGTTAGGCCAAATCGGCTGGAACACAGCCACTGCCGGCCAGGCACGGCCGCAGGCACGCCGTGCGTGGCACCGTGCCTGGAAGGCAGTGGCGCCCCGAAAAATTTTTTTTGGCCAGGCACGGCCGCAGGCACGCCGTGCGTGGCACCGTGCCTGGAAGGCAGTGTCGCCTCGAAGAAATTTGGCCAGGCACGGCCGCAGGCACGCCGTGCCTGGCACCGTGCCTGGGAGGTAGTGGTGAGCAGGAAGAATCCGATGCATGCACGGCCGTGCGTGCCACCCAGGCACGCCGTGCGTGGACCCCAGAACCCGGAAATCGAATTTTTCCGCCCCGTTCTTCTACGTTTGGACCCCCGTTCGATTCCAAACATTAGTATGAACCTAATAACCTTCCAAAGATGTGTAAAAACATTAGAAAATGTATATCACATGGTGTATAAATGTAGGAACATTAAAGATCAATGGTAGGTGTGCGAGGATCCTCATCGATACCGGGGCACAACGCTCATTTGTGAGTGAGGCGTTCGCCGAGGGCCTTGACGTGCCATTGACACCTATGACGCAAGCGTTGCTAGTCTCCACACCGTTAGGAGACGACGTGGAGAGGAATCATTACTATCCGTCGTGTGAGGTAGAAGTGACGGGTCAACCTTTGACTTGTGATTTCGTACCTCTAGGCATGTTGGAGTTCGATGCAATCCTAGGAATGGATTGGCTCGAGAAACACCATGCTCGAGTAGATTGCTACACCAAGGTGTTGGAGCTCGAGGATGATCAAGGAAACACGCTATGTTTCGAGGGAGATCGGGGGAAATCTAATGCTTGTATCATATCCGTGATGAGAGCACGGAAGATGATGAGGAAGGGATGCCACGCATACCTTGCCTACGTGGTAGACGATACAAAGAAAGAAGTCGACATCAAAGATGTACGAGTCGTATGCAAATACCCGGATGTCTTTCCCAAAGACCTACCGGGGCTTCCACCCGATAGAGAGATCGAATTCGTGATTGAAGTGGAGCCGGGAACCAAACCCATTTCGATTCCTCCTTATCGAATGGCACCGGCCGAGCTTCAAGAGCTGAAGGTCCAACTACAAGAACTATTGGACAACGGGTTCATCAGACCCAGTCATTCACCGTGGGGAGCACCCGTACTCTTTGTAAAGAAGAAAGATGGTACACTAAGAATGTGTATCGACTACCGACAGTTGAACAAGGTCACCATCAAGAACAGGTATCCCTTACCGACGATTGATGACTTGTTCGATCAACTTCGAGGGGCAATAGTATTCTCGAAGATTGATTTGAGGTCGGGGTATCATCAGTTGAAGATCAAGGAAAGTGACATACCTAAAAGTGTGTTCCGCACTAGATACGGTCACTACGAGTTCCTTGTGATGTCATTTGGTTTAACCAACGCACCGGCGGCATTCATGGACTTGATGAACCGGGTGTTTAGTGAATACTTAGATCAATTTGTGATAGTATTCATTGATGACATCTTGATATACTCCAAGAGCGAGGAAGAGCACGGACACCATTTGAGGCTTGTACTTGATCGGCTAAGGGAAAAGCAACTCTTCGCCAAGTTCTCCAAATGCGAATTTTGGCTCAAAGAGATTGGTTTCCTCGGTCATGTCATATCCGGTTCGGGTGTTGCTGTGGATAACGCCAAGATAAAAGCGATCATGGATTGGGAGAGACCCAGGAATGCGAAGGAGATACGTAGTTTCCTTGGCTTAGCGGGATACTATCGTAAATTTGTGGAAAAATTCTCCGTATTGGCGTCTCCATTAACGAAGATCACAAAGAAAGGGGCCAAGTTCATATGGGACGACAAGTGTGAGAAGGGGTTCCTTGAATTGAAGAAACGACTTACCGAAGCACCAGTCCTTGCCCTACCCATACAGGGGATAGGGTATGACATTTATAGCGATGCTAGCATCCAAGGGCTTGGATGTGTACTAATGCAAAACGGTAAGGTGATTGCCTATGCTTCTAGGCAATTGAGGAAACACGAAGTGAACTACCCTACTCACGATCTAGAGTTGGGGGCGGTAGTGTTTGCATTGAAGATTTAGAGGCATTATCTCTACGGGGAGACGTGTCACATTTATACTGATCATAAGAGCTTGAAGTATGTATTCACTCAGAAAGAGTTGAATATGAGGCAGAGGAGATGGATGGAGTTGATCAAGGACTATGACTTGATCATCGACTATCATCCCGGAAAGGCCAATGTAGTGGCCGACACACTGAGCAGGAAGAATACGTCAGGGACGCTACTTACTTGTCTACGAGTATTGAGGGCACACGTGGAAGTGTCCACGACCGGGGCGCTCATTGCTAGGTTCGAGGTGAGGCCTACATTGCTGGGTGAGATCTGCAGATGTCAGGCCATTGATGAGGAATGTCAGAAGATCCGCGAACGGATCCTTGAGGGACCCGTCGAGAATTTTCGGGTACGTGATGACGGTATTTTTTTATTTAAGGATCGTGTGTGCATACCAAAGAATGAGGAGCTCCAGAAGTCTATACTTGAGGAGGCTCATTCTTCAGCATATGCTATGCATCCAGGAGGTACTAAGATGTACCGAGATCTGAAGGAAAGTTACTGGTGGTCAGGTATGAAGAGAGGTATTGCAGAGTTTGTGAGTCGATGCCTTACTTGCCAGCTAGTTAAGGTAGAGCATCAGCATCCAGCAGGGCTCTTACTACCACTCACCATCCCGGAGTGGAAGTGGGAACATGTGACCATGGACTTCGTGGTGGGGCTACCACGAACAGTGAACAACTACGATGCAGTATGGGTAGTGGTTGATAGGCTCACCAAGAGTGCACACTTTCTGCCTATCAACATTACTTATCCTCTTGAAAGATTGGCCAAACTGTACACGGAGGAGATTGTGAGATTACATGGAGTCCCAATATCCATTGTCTCGGATAGGGATCCACGATTCACATCCCGATTTTGGCCAAAGTTTCAAGCATCTTTGGGGACTAAACTGAAGTTTAGCACAGCTTTTCACCCACAGACCGATGGACAGTCCGAGCGGGTGATACAGATTTTGGAAGACATGCTTAGGGCATGTGCTTTGGAGTTCCAAGGAAGTTGGGACAAGCATTTGGCCCTAGTGGAGTTTGCCTATAACAACAGTTATCAGGCAAGTATCGGCATGCCCCCGTATGAGGCATTGTATGGGAGGAAATGCAGAACACCGTTGTGTTGGGACGAGGTTGGCGAGGCCAAACTCGAAGGGATAGAGCTGGTTGAAATCACCAAGGCCAAGGTAAGGATCATTCGGGATAGATTGAAGGCTGCTCAGGACCGACAGAAGATTTATGCTGATAAACGGCGGAGACCGTTAGAGTTCGAAGTCAGTGATGAGGTCTTCCTAAGGATTTCTCATTGGAAGGGCATCATTCGATTTGTATCGAGGGGAAAGCTTAACCCCCGATACATCGGTCCATTTGAAATCCTTGAAAGGATAGGGGTTGTGGCTTACCGTCTCAAGTTGACACCTGAACTTGAGAAGATACATGACGTGTTTCATGTATCAATGCTCAAGAAATACATACGAGACCCATCTCATATTCTTGAGAAACCGCCGGTAGAGATCCGTGAGGATTTGCAATATGCGGTAGAGCCGGTGAAGATAGTAGGTCAACAAGTGAAGAAGCTTAGGAATAAGGAGATTCCTATGGTAAAAGTTCTTTGGAGGAGTGATCGAGTCGAAGAAGAAACTTGGGAGACCGAGGTCTCAATGAGAGAGCAATACCCATTTCTTTTCGATTAGACACTTGGATTTCGGGGACGAAATCCCAAATAAGGGGGGGTGAACTTGTAACACCGTCCCCAAATATATTTACTTTTATGTAAATAATGTATTGAACCTTATTAAAGGATTAATGAATTTACGAAGTTGTAAATTTTTATTATTTCTTTCGCGTGAATAGTAAATTGCACGTGGGACCCACACCGGGAGCGGGGGCCGCCCGATATTCCCGAGATCACATAAATTATTTTTACGGGTCGAAATAATATTTATATAGTGGTGGACATCTTATTTGGGCCATGGGAAGGCCTGGGGTTGACCGATTGATCAAAAGGAGCCCAATTGCCGGTACCGACAATTAAACAGATAACAGCCCGAAAATGAATTTCGAAGACTTCCAAATTAAAGTTTTGGAATATATATTATTTCAAAGGGGCGTTATGATTGAGAACACATAATATATTTTATTTTTCCCGATAAAATAAAATATGATTAAAACAGTCCGAAAAATACAACTTTCGGGACCGATTGTACACACCGGGACACAAAGGGATGACCTCCCACATGAGTGGGGGCCACCCCACGTTTCTATATGCTCAAATTGACTAGATGAGAGCTGGTAGTACACTTGATGGGAGGGTGAGACAATTGGAGACATCAAAGGGGTCCCTCCCACCCTTATTAGCTCAATGGGACAAAAAGAACCCATCCCCCTCTTCCTTCATCATTGTACTCGACCAAAGCACCAAGGAGAGGCAAGAGAGAGCTCTCAAACCAGCTTCCATTGTTGCAGCACGAGCTCAAGGAAAATGGGGTCCAAAGGAGAGGATTAAAGAGGGAAAAAGTGGGGAAAAGTGTGAATAATTAAGGTAATGACCTTATTATAACTTCTCTTTATTTTTCTTTCTACCATATGAGGTATATATCATGTGAAGGACCCTTAGTATGGTTCCACATGTTATAAGTATGGATTTATGGGTAGGAAGATGGTTCTATGTCTAAGAACGGACTTAGGGACCAAAACTACCGGTTCACCGGAAAATAACCTTTTAGGGGTTATTTGTATTGATATGAGTTTTATGATTATAAAACCTTGTTAGTCACTTGTAAAGGCTATTTCAAGTGATTTCACAAAGTTGGAAAAGTCGCCGGAGTTGTCGCCGGAGTTGACCAAAAGTCGCCGGAGTTTCATCGGAGTTCAACCAAGAAGGGTAGAACTTCTTAACGCTAGTTCAAGGTGAGTGGACGACTTAATATCTTATAACTTTTGGGTTAATTATGAGATTACCTAAATAAATGTTATATGAGTTCATAATGATGTTTAAAAGATATTTAAACATGTGATTAGCCAATAGGGTTAAGTTGTATGAAAGAAATTAATTGTTGATGCATGGAATATGATATGAAGATTTATATGAAATGCATATTTGCTTAAAATGTATTAGAAGCACAAATGAATATTATTAACTTAATTATATGATGATTAAGTTGATACACACAAGGCATGAGATGGCGGTCAACGAAAACGTTGACCGATGGACAAAGGATTTAATTAATACCGGTTGGTATTAATTAATTATAAATTTATATAAATGCATGGTTTTGCATGGATTGTGATACATAAGCTTTATGTATTGAATTAGTTATGAGTAACTAAGTATGGTATAGACTCTATCTAGGTTGATAGAAGGTTGATCATAGGAAAACTTGGTGGAGGACCCTAGTACTTAAAAGTACTTAACACTCAAAACTTGGTGGAGGACCCTAGGACTTAAAGTCCTTAACACTCAAACTTGGTGGAGGACCCTAGTACTTAAAAGTACTTAACACTCAAAACTTGGTGGAGGACCCTAGTACTTAAAAGTACTTAACACTCAAAACTTGGTGGAGGACCCTAGGACTTAAAGTCCTTAACACTCAAACTTGGTGGAGGACCCTAGTACTTAAAAGTACTTAACACTCAAAACTTGGTGGAGGACCCTAGTACTTAAAAGTACTTAACACTCAAAAACTTGGTGGAGGACCCTAGGACTTATGAGTCCTTAACACTCACAAACCGGTGGAGTATCCAAGGATTATGATCCTAAAACTCATAGATTGTGATATACAAATAGGGACAAGGAGGAGTCCTATACACTCATAGGTATATGGGTGGGTTGGGGTTTTTAGTCAAGAATATTGACTATTACTATTTTTCCCAAATAAAATGGTGATCTACGGATCGTATATTTTCCAAGTATATATATGCTAATAAGTATTTCATAACTTGGGGAAAAGACTATTTATTTAAGTATCAACCTATGTTTGGGTCTTATACTTGAAACGCTAGTTATTCTATATTTAGTCTGCTACTCGCTCGGTACTTGTACTGACCCCTTCGGGGGCCCCCACCATTTTCAGGTTGAAGCTAGGGCTTGCTACCTGCACCTTTCTACGGGTGACATCAAGTCAAGGAAGACGTGGTTCGTGCTTCCTCATTTCCTTTCAAATTACTAAACATTGCTCATGGATATTTTTATTTGTTATAAACTACTTTTGGGGCTTGCATGCCCATGTTGTTGGCCGGTTGTGGCTTATGACTTACCGTTGAATATTTCCGCTATTCATTGGTTTAAATGTGATGTTGTTACGTATGTTTACTACTGAGTATGGATGGTTTATATTCTCGAACGCCTTGTGTAATTAAGTGAGGTTGACTCGCGGGTGACGTCACTTGATTATACGGCGGTTGTACACGCGCTTGGATTGCGGTCTGGGGCGTGACAATCATTGACATAGTTTCCTAGGATCAGTGTTGAAGACAAAAATTGGAAACAAGGCAAGAGTTGAGGCCTCGATCAAGGAAGGTTATTTGCAAAGTGAGATGGGTACATTTGCGAGTTACTATTTCCCGGAGGAAGTGGTTACAAAAGAACGCCGTGTGCATAGATTGGATGATGGTTTCTTTATTAATGAGGATGCTAGCGCTTCAATTTTTGCACAAAAGGCAAAAGCAGTCGGTGCCCGCATGCGGCGACACATGAACCAAAATGAATCCAGTGCAGTTCACTCTTATGTGTTGCTAAACTGTGTAGAAATCCAACCATTCCGAGAGTAAGTCATACTATTCTAAGCATTGTTTTGTCATATTTAATGTGATATGATATATTGAACGTACTTATATTTAAACGTGAGTGTGGTCTTTTATTACAGGATGTTTGTCAATACAACAGGATTAACTACTTCTGACGAAGCCCAACTACAAGCGAACTTTCCTTTATGGTTTTACCACTACGTGAGAATCTAAACTACCTTATTTACTTAAATAAAGTTCAACTACAGACTGTATAGAGTTATTATACATTGCATGTGTTAAGATTTTGTGCTTTGTTTAGGTGGAAAACGACACAATAGATCATCCACGATGGCTTCGTGCTTTATCTAGATTCCCCTCTCCATATGTGACTACTTACCACACGCTTAACATAAACGGCTATAAATTTAACACTATTGAGCGTTCTGAAGACAGGGTTACATGTAATTGTGGGGTTATGGTGAAGTGCACCGGTTTTGATGGATCGAGGCTCGATTACTATGGATTGATACAAGAAATAATTCAGTTGGAATATCAAGAATACAAGGTACTTGTTTTCAAATGTAAATGGTTTGATCCTTCTGATAGAGGTACACGAGTCCATCCATTATACAACATAGTTGATGTACACATGCAACACGTACTTCGTACTCCAGATTGCTATATTTTAGCATCACAGGCCGATCAAGTTGTGTATGTACCGTATCCGAGTGCAAAGAGGAAGGTCAACAGATGGCAATCTGTTGTTCAATGCATGCCCCGAGCTTTTGTGGAGAAGGAACGAGGTGAAGAATCAAATGAAGAAGAAGAAGAAGATGAGGAAGAACCATCAACATTTAAAGAAAATGAACCAGGAATCTCATTCTACATAGAGTTAGATTTTTCAGGGGCACAACATATCGATGACCTTAGTGGTCTTCCTGCCACCTCGACTACTCCAGAGTATATGGATGACGCATTAGACGGAGCATATGACAATGAGCATGCAAATAATGACAATGATGTTGTCCAAGAAGATGATGTTGAATGCACAGATGATTAATAGGGTGACTGTTTTATACTTTGGACTACCATATTTTTTTAGTTTTCAGTTTTGTATGTGATTTGAATACAGAAAACAATTCTTTAGGGTCTGTTCGTGAACTGCTTTGTTGATTAAACGATAAAACCTATAGTGTTGATTCAGTTTCTCTTATTCGGATATCTCGAACTTCAGTACATAACAACAAAGCAATTCAAGTTGATTCCGTTTAAGAAAGAAATGAATATCCATTTCTTAAATAATTTTGAGTCAACACTAAAATCAAAACAGTTTTCAAAAAAGTGGAAAACAAACACTGAAAACAGGTTTTTGTTTTCTAATAACTAAAAACATAAAACTAACAACAATATTGAACAGGCCCTTAGTTTTCAGTTTTCAATTTTCATTTCTTTTCAGTTTTTATTATGAAACTTGATTTATTTTGTCATTTCATAATTTTTCATTTCTTTTTAGTTGATAATTTTTCAGTTTTTATCATGATACTTGGTTAAATCTTTTCAGTTTTCAATTTTATTTCTTTTCATTTTTTTCACTTTTTAGTTTTTGCTAAAAATTTGCTTTGGATATCTTTCCTTTTTCAGCACTAAGATTTATCCGGCAGCCTGTATTTTTGGTGTGCTTAATCAGCGCTCATATGCAGCCCGTGTTTCATTGTTGCATTTGGATAACAATTATTATAAGAAGTGTATTTTTATTTTAAAAGTTTAATGCTTGGATGACTGTTTGCATTTCGTTTTAGTTGAGACTTACTGGTGAACATATAAATCCCTTCAAACTCCGTGACACGTACCATCCCAAGAAAAGAAAAAATGGAGAGCTAATTGATTATTCCACCCAATCAAAAGTTATGGTATGCAATTCTTTTTTCACTTTGTATTTCATAATGGTTCTTTGTTTCTGATTATCTGAATTTAAAGTGAATATTTATGTGATTTGGATGGTGGAAAATATACACATGATTATGTAGCTAAGTAATTGGTGTTATTATTACGGATGTATTTTATTTGGTATTATATTTTAATTAGTTGTGTTCCCTTAAGATTCTCCTTCTTTAAGTGTCTTGGAATGGGCATAGGAACATGTATTGATGTACCAGAACGGTTAATGCTCCAGATTGCTGCAATGTCTAACCTATGTAATCAATTCTCCTCGATCGGTATAAAGAGAGCAGTCTGCATGCTTTACAGAATAAGAATAATACATCTTAGTTTTAATATTCATTCACAATTCATGCTTTCTTAGTTATTGTGTAGTTGTTCAACTTTGACTTGAATATTTATAATTTCAGTTCATCTTTGAGCTGCAGTAGAAGTCTATCTTTGAGCTGAAATAAAAGTTGTTAAATCTGCTAAATTATTGTGATGTAATACAGTAGAAAGTAGCAATGATGGTTTTATGCAACTTCGATTCTTTACCGAGTTTTGTCATTTTGTATGAACAGGAAGCTATTGACAGATTGTCCAACATTTTTCATGAAGCTGAAAGTCAACATACTGAGTCATCAGAGACATAAATTGGGTTATCTAAGGCGGCAAAAGTTGCATTGTCGAAAATGTATTCTCTCTACTTTGAAGTGGCTGGGTGCAATAAGAAACGAGTTTTTGGAACCGGAAGGTACTCCAAAGCATTCCTTCAACAATTAGAGTCAACTCATCAAAGATGTTGTTCATCATCACGACGTGTGTACGAGTTTTGCATCTATTGGGATGAACAAATGAGAAAGTGGTTATCTTCTCAAGGTCATGAGTGTCCATCGGCAATGCCTCTTGTGGATGAAAGTTTGATGTATGAAGACCCCGATTCATATCCCAAGACTTTTGAAGATACATGGCTTTCGTTTTTTAAATCCCATGGAATTGATGCAGAAGGCTTTTTCCCACAAACTGAATTCTCTTCTCAAGGATCCCAAGAATCAAATGGACATTCTATGTCCCATTAGATATGTTGTTTTAGTATTGAAAAGTTTGTACACTAAAGTGTAAACAACTGGATGTGATGTATGTTTTTTGTGATTTTTGTATGGTACATGAACTACGTATCAGTAATGACCTATGGATTATATAATGATATATATTGATGCAAGAGTTGCTATTATTCAATTGTGTGTTTAATTTACTTGTTTTATGATTTTATTTTGCTTACTATTTTGAATTATTTTCTTGTATTAAAAAAAAGCTAATAAAATCTAATCATTAAATTCCGTGGCATAAAATCTTGATCAGTGGCAGAAATTAGTGGCAGACTTTCCGTCACAATAGACTATGGCAGATTAATTCGCCATTGAATTCCGCCACGGATTAGCGACGGCTTTAAACATCCGTCAGTAAAAGCAATACTGTCCAGAATTTAGTGGGGGATAGTCTGCCACAGATTTCCGTCACTTAACATGTTTGTGGCGGAATTAGTGACGGAATTTCCGTCACTAAAGTCCGAGATTTCTTGTAGTGATTTAAATGAGGAACCGTAAAATTTCAAGAACTGGACCATTAAGCAGGAATAGTTCGATGCTACATGGTTCTATAAATAATTTATAAGAATTGAATTGTTACTAAGATATGATATTTTTCAAATGGTTTCATCTATTTTGCTTATGAACTGAATCGGCCCTTGGCCTAGAAAGAAGCTATTGGGATCCTCATAATCTCAATATCTATTTTCTGAAGTATTAAAGAATTTGGGATTCCATTAAAAAAGGAAAATATGGTAAAGTATGAATAAATTTTAGGGGTGTTTGGTTATATATCCTCCTATTAAACATTTCTAGTATTAAACATTTTAGGTTTTATGGATTGAATTTGGCTGTTTAAATTTTAATGTGTTTAAACAATACGGAGTATCAATCAAACAATCATTTCTGTTCGTAAACGTTTTTTTTCCTTTGAGTTGCTTTTGACAACGGTTTTTATTTTTATTTTTTTATTTTAAAAGCCTAATATATACCCTTCAATTTTGCCTTAATATTTAAGTTTTTACTAACTATTCAAATTAAAACTAGGAATATTAATTGAAATAAAATAAAAATAATAAGGGCAGTATAATAATAATGATTCAATGTAATAAATATCATCCTGAATTGTTACTATTTTCAAAAGCTAGTAACAACAATATAATCGTATTTCTCTCACACACAAAAAACAATATAATTTTAAAAAATTGTAGAATTATATAAGGGTTTTTTTTAAGAGGAATTTATTAAGAAAAAGATAGGGTACAATGCGAAATAAAAGGCATACTGAAAATAAAGCAAAAAGCAAAAGAAAAGTACAGTAAAACGGTAAAAATTAAGCCCACGGAAATTGTTTGGTTTGAGAGTAAAACGATAAAAATTAAGGCCACGGAAATTGTTTGGTCTGAGACCTGGTCCTTATGCTATGACGCCGCTTTAACTGCTGAGTTTTCCTGTAAAGTTTAAGTTGCATGTTCAGGTTATCTGTTGGCACGCAGTTGTCTGAAGTTTAACTTGGATTTGCGGCAAATAGCTCTGTTCAATTTTGAGTTCCTAATATCGGTTTGGTCAGAGATTGGTGGTCAACGTTCGCTTTCTGTTGCGTGCCCCAGAAAATCGTCTGAAAAATATGAGTCATCTGACGGGTCATAACGGTCCGAGGCATCTGAGTACGCCTGAATTAATGGTAGTTTGGGATGACTCTCTGAAGGTATACGTTGCTCGGCGTAGGCTCCCCGAATTTGGAAATTAAAAATGAGTTTCGAAATTGACATGGCTTCCTCATCATCTGCCATGGAATTGTGCTCCATGTGGAATGTTTCCTCTTATTCTAGGGAAGAAAATCCTACAATATTTGAAAAGATATCCAGAAACTCCGTTGTATGGACAAACAGTCAATTATGCCCTCGTAGTATGGACAAACAGTCAATTATGCCCTCGTACTTTCGAAACACTCAATTGAGCCAGTCACGTCTCCGAAAACACTCAATTAAGTCTACATTACCAGTTGTCTCCCGGTATGCCCAATTCTCATTGAACCGATCCAATTTCATCCATTCAAACGAAGAAAGAAGAAACAAGGGAGTTTCCACCCAATTTCGTGTTTGCGAGCGAGGGAGATAAGAATTCGAGATAGAACATTGTGAATTTTGTGGGGGAGAGAATATTAATTAGTAGATCGTATTGATTAGTTGTCTGGGGAGGGAGGGAGGGAGGGAAGGAGGGAAGAGTTATGTGTATGAGTATGTAAATGCATCAGAAGAAATCCAAAGTTCAGATCAGAAAAGAAAGCAATTGTGTCTCTTCCAATTTCAACCCCACTTTGCTTTCATCCTCTTTCTTTTCCAATTGTGATTTCTTGTAGTGTTTTGTGAGTTGCATAAGTTTGGATTGGGATCCTTTGTCGCACAGCAGAGTGCCTTGTGGTAGGGAGGCCGTCGGATAGGAAAAGTGGCACATTGAGATACGGGCCTCTAAATCTTCAACAGTTGAAATATTGATCAGACTACTCCCGAAGGCCAGACAGGGTTCCTAACTCGGAAGTAAGGCAGAGAAACCAGATCCTATAAGTTTTGTTTAGTAAAATAATTATAAGTCCCTATTGCTTAATTTGTATACATGAATAAAACATATCCAACTACATTGAATAGTTTTAATGTTTAGATTTTAAATGAACCCCTGGATATTTATACATTAAATCTTTTAGCATGGATGCTGAATTCAAGCTTAAAGGAGATTAATTTAGCATGAATATTTATACATTAAATCTTTTGACATGGATGATTGCATTCAAGCCTAAAGGAGATCAATTTAGTTTCATTTGAGCATTCCTTCAGAATTTGAAGGTGTAACTCGTGAGGGGTTACTGATCTCTACCCTAAAAAGGTTAATTATGTATTAATATTTGATTTAAAATACATTTGAACTTGTGTCTCAAATGCGGTCATATTGATTTAAATGTTTTTACATATGTGATAAAAACAGACCCATTAATCTTTCATTTGAGAAATGCTTCCGGTTCTATGGGTGCCATTCAATTCGTGAGGGTCTAATGTTGTCCACACTAAAAGGCAAATTATGTATTAATATTTGATTAAAAATACCTTTGAACTTGTGTCTCAAATGTGTTCATATTAATTTGAATGTATAAACATATCTGAAATTTATTGAAGTAATTGAACTGTATCGATCATATGTAACTCATATAATCCTACTTTGTCCATCCACTAAATTCTGATTTTCTAAGTTCTATTTTTATTTACCGTTTTTTACATTTTTCTTTATTTTGTCATACACTCATATTCTCTCATCGGGCGTTCTTATCAAATGATCCATGGCTTTGGATAAACCAAAAGAGACCAGAATATCATTTTAAAAAGCTCAAAATTTCACACATCGACATATAATGATTCTTGAGGTATAATAATTTCTCCACTGATTAGCAAGTCCAATGGATTATATGTCATTTATGAACCAAGATGCAGTATTTATAAAAATATGTCTTTATTATCTAAAGAGTAGTTTTTGTTAAGTTTTAAGATGCCTATCAATGATCATGCATGTATTAGCCTGTAAAGTCAATTGTATTAGTACAAGAGAAATAATAATAAATGTTACAAAATAAAGTTTGTTGAAATTTTTATTGACCCGATGAAGGGGAACAACTTCAACTTTATTGTAAAATCAATTGTATTAGTACATGAGATGCAGGCTGCTATGTTGGGCTTATTTACTTTGATCTGAGTCTCTGTCATGGTCCTCATGGATATTATGATGAAGACAAGAGGACTTCCAAAGTAGGACTCAAATACATTTCAAATATTTTGCTATTTCCGTGTTTAATAACCCAATTAACAAGATGAAAAAATGTTTATAATAACGAAGAA